CACCACATGTCTCCCGAGAGCCCCTTGGCCTCTGTCTGGGTGCAGAGTGAAGGCGCCTTCCCTGGGCCTGACACTCCCCACCCTTTGTGCAAAGCTTCACAGGTTGGAGTGGCCTGGTGTGGAGTCCTTGCTTGCCTTGCCCTCCGGGCCCACAGGCAGCACGACCCCGCGTGGTGCTAGGCAAAGCCCAGGTGGGCAAGTGGGCCAGTGTGTGGCTGATCCACCCTCTCCAGCAATTCACTGCCCTTTCCAGGTGCCCCCCTCCTGGGATTCCCTCTTCTCTGCTCTCCTGGCCCCCATGGCCTCCTTCCTCCAGGGGCCCAAGGTCAGTTGGGCTCAGGGTTTCGGTTCTTCCTCTGGCCTCCGCCTGTGCTTGGCGCCTGCCCGACACCAGGTGGGAGCCAGGCCAGAGGCCGTAGCCAATGCTGTAGGAGCGTGACCCCCAGGCACGGAGGGCATGGGGGCGGGCCGCGCCTGCAGCTCCTCACCGGCTGGGAGAACGCGAACCACCAGCCTTGGGCGCGTCGGCTCGGGCAGGTTCCGAGTGCTCCGAGCGCCCTGGCCTGGCCGCGCAGCCTGGGCCTGAAGCACCAGCCCTTGGAGGGCCCGTGCTTCCCCGGGCCTGTCCATATCCCCGCACCCGGGGCTTCTCCTCGCCGGAGATGCGCTTTATTACACGTTGGAAGCCAGTAGGACGCTCGCGGGCTCTGGGGCTCTGCTGCCAGCAGGAAGGGGCGCCCAGGGGTGCCTTGGATGCCGGGGGCCGCCCCCGGCCCTGCTCCCCAGGAGCTCAACTTGGCCGGAACCAGCCGGGCTCCCACTCTCCAGGCCCGGCACCAACCAGCTGTGTGGGACCTGGACCAAGGAGGTGCGATGGGGAAATCCATGCCTGGCAGGCACCGACCAGCCCCCTTCCCTTGGAAGGGAATTGGGCGAGGGTGGAAGAGTGGGGGAGGAGGGGGAGGACCAGAGGGGCACGGCTCTCAGGGAGGCCGCTTGAGCTGGGGTGCAGCCACTGCACGGTGGTACCCACCAGCCCGGCCTTGGCCTGTGCCCTGAGAAGTGGCCGGCAGCTGCCAGGGCTCTGAGCCCTGTGTGCTGCTGCTCCCCGAGCAGGACTCCACGGCCGGCAGGCGCTGTCCCTCTGAGGTCACTGCCTGCTCCCGCACGAGGTGGGGAGGACAGCTGGGCACTGGCCATCTGACTGACTCCGGCGTGACATCTGGGAGCCCACTGGTGTGTGGCACGCGAAGCGCTGGATGCCGCTATTTAAATGCAAATGCGAGGGGCTCATTGAAGCCGCTCCCTGTAAATCTGCACAAAAGGAACACTTCCCACCCTCCGCGGAGGAGGCAGCGGCGGCGGGCGGCGAGAGGGCCACCAGTGCAAACCACACAGGGCCGGCCTCCAGCCCTAGTCCCTGTGGTCACGGCCCGGGGGTTCCCAGTGAAGGCCAGGCCCCAACCAATGGCCCCTGGGAGTGCTCGGGGAGCAGAGGCTGGACCAGCAGCCTCGGAGGACCTGCCCAACGTCCAGTGTCAGCCTGCCCTTCCCCGGGCTGCCCCTGCCTGGGCACTGGGTGCCCCTAGCTCCCTGGAGAGGGCTGGGGGGCTGGGCTCAGGGGCGCTCCAGTCTCCCCTAAGACTTCCAGGAATTGACCTGCAGCCCCTCCCTTCCGCTTTGGGGTCTGGGCTCTGGGTCCCTTGCAGCTCCCCATAACTGCTCCCACCCTATCCAAGGGAAAATCTGGGGTAGGATTGGGGGGGGGGCAGGAGGCTGCCCTCCCAGGCCGCTCCCCAGAAGGCCTGGGTGCAGACCTGCCCAGGCGGCCAGTCCTTGTGCTCGCAGCAGCTCGGAGCCAGCAGTGGAGTGACAAAAAAGATAAAGTTGGTGAATGATAAAGACCGTATTTTCCACGCTTTGGGTGCGGGACCAGATGATCTAGAAAATGAGCTGAAATGGATTCAGCCTCTGAGCCTGTTGTGAGAGCAGCTGATTCCCCCATTTCGGGCCAGATGGCTGCTGAACACAGATTTGCATTCATTTTCGCTTAATATCGTCCAAAACAGTGGGGCAGCTGCATTTGTTGTCAAAAAGGTTTAAAACCCCTTTTCTTTCTGGGGCAGGATCGTTACCTTCTGCGACGGGCTTATGGAACTTTTTTCCCCCTCTCTCTCCCTCTTTAGTCAACAGTATCAGATTTAGAAGGATTTGTTTTTAAACCTTCTAATTTGGTAATCAGATTTAAATCGCCTTGGCGCGTGTAATCTGAATTAAAGATACTGTAAATGATTTTAAGCATGATACTTTTCGTTAGCGCGGGGAAGGGGGCACCTCCAGCCGGGGCCCGGCATTTTAGGAAGTGTGCAACAAAGAAAGTATTGTTTCCTATTTCCAACTTCATCTTTTTCCCCCCAAAAAGGCATTCTGCAGAGCCTGACAATAACGCTGCCGGCCTGGCCAGCCAGCCGCCTCACGGGAGCTCCCCCGAGCTGCTCAGCACGCAGAGACAAAGCCACTTCTCAACCCCACCCTCCCCCGATGGCCAACTTCATGCCCTGTTGTCTTTCCCGGGGAAGACAGTGTTTTCCAGGCTCCACGCGGGCTGCCGAGGGAGGAGAGCTCCGGGCTGATTAGGAATACAGAAATTTTCTTTTAATTTATCGCGAAGAGTTTCCATACACTTTGATTTAAGGTTATTAACATTCTATAGACAGTGGCATCTTTAATATGTGGCGATCGCTTCTAAAGACTAATCTCATTACCCTCAAATAGTCATAAAATATGATTTTATTATACTTACGTATTTAATTAGACGGCCGGCACCGTAATGGATTTTGAGATGGGACCGGCGCAACAGCTTTGATAATTCACTTATCTTTGGCAATAGTCATTAACCCCCAACACCAGCAAAATAGATTGCTTTCCAACACATCCTTTTTTCTTTCCCCTCACCCCTTCCAAGCGGTGTGGGGGTCCCCAGACAATGCAAATCGGACTTCGATTTTCCCCGATTAATTAAAATATTAATGTACACACACACAAGCGGCGGCCAATTCATAAAAAAAGGGGAGTGTTGACTCCAGACTGGGGGGGAAGAGGCTGTCCTGCGACAGACACCCTCGCGCCCTGGAACCTGTTTTGGTTTTGTTTGTTTTAATCAAAAGGGCCTGATTCCTCTTGGCAGGACGGCTCTCGGCGGTCCCCGGGGCGCCAATCGGTGTCCCGCACGCGTCCTCCGGGCGGGCGGCGCGCCCGGGCTCCGAGCCGCTGCTGCCGCTGGAGCCTGGCCGCCGGGTCGCGGACTGCGGTTGGCTCCCCACTCCCCGCCGCTACCCTCCCGACTGATTCCTCGAAACCAGGTCGGGGAGGCGCGCGCCGCGCTTACCGGGGCCGGCGGCACGGAGGACGGGACCCGCCGGGCTGCCGGGGAGGCCGGCGCCGGGGAGGGCTGGGCCCCGCGCGGGGCGCGCCCCGGACCCCGGCTCCAGGCCGCCGGAGAGGGAGGCCGGGCGCGCGTCCTGTGAGCCCGAGCGCCCGTCGCCTTCCTTTGTTACCCGCCGCCGCGGCTCAGGACGGGCCGGGGCCGGGGTCTCCCGCGGCCACCGGGAGAGAGAGGGAGCATCTGGCAGCGTCCGCCTCCGACGTGGGCCCCAGCCCGCAGCCCGCGGCCTCCCCGGCAGCGAGCGCCGGCGTCTGGCGAGGCGCAGACGGGGGCGCGGACCGGCCCCTCCAGCAGCCCCAGGTCTGCAGGAAGCCAGGCAGCGCTGCGGGCCCCGTTCCCGCGCTGCAGCCCCCAGCCCTGCGCCGGCCCCTGCGCGCCCTCCCCGCGGCCTGCGGGCCTCCTCTGCCCGCTCCCTCTCCTCCTCGGGGCCCCCTGCATTGATGGCATGCATTGCAGCGATTGCATGCGTTTGGACAACTCGGCATGGTACCCCTTCCTGGCCACCGCGTGTGGACCGTCTCTGAATTGGGGAGGAGGTATGGGGGGGGCACACACACAAGCTGCCATCGTGCACGGGTTGGTGGTGGTTTCATTTGGAGATGTATTGGGGCGAGCGGGAACTTCCCGGCTGCGCGCGGGCGGGCGCCGGGAGCCAGGGCGCTTAGCCCGGGGGCGGCCGCGGCGCTGGGTGGCGCTCGGCGGCGCTCGGCGGCGCCCGGCGCGGCGGGGCTCGCGGGGCTCGCGGGGCTCGGGCCGGCTCGCGGCGCCCGCCGTCAGGCAGTCAGTCGGCGAGCGCGGCGGCGGCGGCGGCGGCGGCGGGGGCGCGGCGAGGGGCGGCCGCTGCCATATATGGCGCAGGCGCCGCCCCCCGACGTCACCCTCTGACAGCGCCGCTCCCGGGGGCTTCGAGTTTTGGCTCCCGGGAAAGGGTCCATTCCTCGGGGAGGGAGCGGGCTGAGTTTTGTGCGCCTCCGTCCGCTGCGCGCGCCGCTCCGGGCCCCGCCGCATCCCGCGCCCCGCCCGCCGCCCGCCCGCCCGCCCGCCCGCGCCCGGGACTGCGCCGGGCTGCTCTCAGCGCCGCTTATTTGTCTTTGGAGCAGGCGGGCCCGCCAGCAGCGGACGACCCCGCCGGTCCCGGTCCTGCCTGCGCCGCGGCCGCCGCCCGCCCGGCGAGGATGACACCACGTTGAGCGCCTGCAAACAACAACAACAACAGCAGCCGCCGCCGCCGCGGCCGCGGTCCCGTCCTCCTCCGCCCGCTTCTCCGGGCGCCGCCGCCGCCGCCGGTGCCGCCGCCGCCCCCGCGCCCCCCCCTCCCCCGGCCGTCCGGAGCGCCGGCCGCCGGTGCATGCGGCGCCTGCCCGGGAGCACGGGCTGAAGCCGGCGGCGGCGGGCCGGACCCTCCGCAGGCGCCGAGCGAGCAGGGCCAGCGCGGCCAGGGCGGACGCTGCCGCCGCCGCCGAGCGCCGAGCCCCGAGCGCCGCCGCCGCCGCCGCCGCTGCTCCGGGGAGCGCCGTGGGCCGGCCGGGCGCCGCGGCCGCCGCCAGCAGGGTTCATGTTCGGGATCCAGGAGAACCTTCCGCGCGGGGGCACCACCATGAAGGAGGAGCCGCTGGGCAGCGGCATGAACCCGGTGCGCTCCTGGATGCACACGGCGGGCGTGGTGGACGCCAACACGGCCGCCCAGAGGTACGTACCGGCCGGCCCCGCGCGCGCCCCGGCCCCGGCCCCGGCCCCGGCCCCGCGCCCTCCCCGCCGCTCACCGGCCGCCCGCCCTCTCCTCCCGCAGCGGCGTGGGGCTGGCGCGCGCGCACTTCGAGAAGCAGCCGCCCTCCAACCTCCGCAAGTCCAACTTCTTCCACTTCGTGCTGGCGCTCTACGACCGGCAGGGCCAGCCCGTGGAGATCGAGCGCACCGCCTTCGTGGACTTCGTGGAGAAAGAGAAAGTAAGTGCGGGCGCGCGATCACTCCCTCCTCCGGCTTCCTCTCCGGGCGCGGGGCCCGCGGAGAGCCCCCCTCGGCGGCGGCGGCGGGGACGGTGGGCCGGGCGGCTCCCGGGCGCCCCCGGACTCTGCGGGGCCGCTCGCCGGACAGTGACATCACCGCGCCGCTCCGAGCCCCGCGCTGCGTGAGACCCGGGGGCCTCGGTGGTGCAAAGGGGACCGAGCGCGGAGGCCGCTGCAGGCGCCGACCCGCTACTTAAATGCAATTATGTGTCGTTCCTTCCAGGAGCCCAACAACGAGAAAACCAACAACGGCATCCACTACAAGCTGCAGCTCCTGTACAGCAATGGTGAGTGGCCGCTGCCCGGCTTCCCTGGCTTCCCGGGCTCTCCTTGCCCGGGATGCTAAAAGGACATAAAGATTTTGAGATTAAAATGACATGGATGTAAACACGGAATCTTCGCACGGCATAGAAGGAAAACAAAACATAAACGATCAATAAGTCGATGGCACTTCACATGATTAACCGGTAGGGCACGAAGCAGAAAGTAAAAAGCGGATCGATTGAGGCGCTCCGGCTGAACATCACTTCTAAGTGACTTTTTTCAATTTTGCAAATTAATGTTCATTATTGAGATGGGGGTGGCCCTGGTGGTGAAGCCGAGAGCATAACTTCCTTTCCCGGGGCTCCCGGTTCTTTAAAAAGAAAAGAAAAATCCTCGAGAGACATTTAGAAAGAGTTCAGACTCTGTTTCCATATCTTGCTTTCTGTTTTCTAAAAATAAATGACCACATGGGCCTGTGGGCATGGCAGCCAGGCCTGCACTCGGCCGGGCACGTTGCTTGCCCCTTTCAAGGAAAGCAAACCCTGAGAGCCCCAAGGTTCTTACTTAGGAAAAGGAAAGAAAAGAAAGAGCGAGGAGTCTTGGGTTTTTTTTTCTTGCCTTTTAAAAGGCCAAGCCTGAAGTTTTGCTGCATCACGGGGCTGCAGTCCCTGAGCCCTGGACTTCCTGTGCCCGGTGCCCTTGCTAAACTGATGGGCACCTCTCTCTGTCTCTCTCTCTCTCTCTCTCTTTTGCAGGAGTGAGAACGGAGCAGGATCTGTACGTCCGCCTCATAGATTCCATGACCAAGCAGGTGAGAAAGTTTAAGCGTTTGCATGAGTTTTCACTGCTCAACTGTCTCGTCCTGGGTTTCAGAGACAGCACCCTGACAAATGGACCCGTGTGTTTTTGTTTCTCACTCAGTGTCCTCGCCATGCTAATGAGAATCCCGTGTTTACTGGAATATGTGAAGCAATTGGTGAAATAGTTTAGGTTGTCAGTACAGTCGGACAGATAGGCTTTGTTACATGGCTTGTGATGGGATTCAGGTTCTCTCTTAATTCATTATGGTAATTCACATGTGACAGGAGAATCTTCAAGAAGCCCCTTTCCGTGTGTTTTTTAACGTGGGAGTGTCTTTCCCCCCTCTCCTTGGAATCATTTCATTGATTCCCCCCCCCTAACACCGTGGTGATGAGCTCCTTTCCTTTCCGAAGCCCAGTGCGTGGGGCTTGATGAGTTCCTTTTTCCTCTTTTCCAGCGTGACGGTCTAGTAACACGAGACGTTTATTTGAATTTAAAAGTTAAATGTGTCGGGGTGAAAAGTCACCTTGTTCTCCTCTAGCCCATCTTCACCTCTCGGCCCCCCATCTCCATAATTCAAACTCCGAGCTCCAGGGGTCACTCAAACCCGCTCGTGGCTCTGCAGAGCCGCGCTGGCTCCTGCCCCCGCCCTCTGTCATACCTTGTAAATAACATAATTACAGGCAGTTCCTTATTAAATTATTTAACCTGTCTTGGTCAACTTTTCCGAGGATAACTATTGGCTCTCGGGAACGCCATTGAGTGCAGACAGGGGCTTCCTCGCTTTCGGATTCGGTGCGGTTTCTGGCTGGGGCTGTGCCGGGTGGCCAGTTGTTGTTCGGTTGTTTTAAAGAACCCGCCTCCCCCCCCTTTATTCTTAAAAAACAGAGGCTGGGGGAGGGGCAGGTGCGACGTGTAAATTAAACCCACTTGGCACAGATGGATTTGAAATACAGTTCCAGGCTGGGCTCCGGGCTGGGAAACGAAAGTGGAGCCTCGGTTCCTGACGCGCTGGAAGAATGCGAGCCAGGGGAAGCTCCCCGGCTGCCGCAGCCTCCCGCTCCGCTTGGCGATTAGTTTGCTGATCTCACTCCCCCGGTAGAAAGTTTGTCCCTCCCCGGGCAGCCCGCCTGCTAGATGTTCACGTAACTCGGTGCGGTTTTCTCTGAGCGTAAACACAGAGCTGGTGGTAAACTTCGCTCTTTTTGAGGCGGCGGCGGCCCCGCGGTCAGGGTCTCCCTCGGAGGCGGGGGCCTGGGGAGAGGGGCTGCGGCGGCGGACAGGGAGCTTTCCTTTCTTTGCAGGCAGGGCTGCTGCTAGCAGAGCGCGCTGCGGAGGGAGGCCGGGGCAGCGGGGCTGCAGGCATCCATCCCCAGGCTTCCCTGTTGGTGCCTGGAGCAGAAGGCCGGCTCCAAGGACACTTTTATTGTTCGTTTAGCCGCAGACCTTTGCAGGAGAAACAGGGCTGGACATGCAGGCATTTCATCGCCTCTCCCCGGCCGGGATGGAGCCGGGGAAGGAAAGGAAAGAAATGGCCCAGTAACTGATCAAAGAGTCAATGGTGCTGAACCGACAGTTTATGGATTTCTGTGTGTGCTACAAAATAAAAAATAAATCAGATACAAACGCGGGGCTCCGTCCCCGGACCGGCCGTGCGCTCAGGAGGAGGAGCCGGTGCCCGGCTGCCCGCCCCGCGGCCCGTGGGTCTGGGGTGGCACCGCGGTTTGGAGCCGGGTCCAGGGAGGCCTGGGGAGAGCGGCTCCCGAGACCCTGCCCTCCTCCCAGAGGGAAGCCGGTTTCCCCGGGAAAGGGCTTTGTCCGCCTGGAAGTGGCGGAGTCAGGAGCGCCCGAGGAGGTTGGAAGTAATTTCCAGATAATTGGGGGGTGGAGTGGGGGCGGCGGGAGCTGGAGAGGGGGCTCCCCTCCCCCTTCCGTGGAATTTTCAGCCGGGAACTGGCGGCTCCTGCCCCCCCCTGCCCTCTGCCCCTCCTCCGGTGGCCTTTTCCCCCTTCTTTTCTTTCCTCCTTCCTCCCCCCTCGCTGCGGGTGGCTGTGGGGCCGGCGGCTGGCGCGGCGGCCGGCTCGGGTTCCCGGCGGGCGGAGCTGGTGAGCGCCGTGGTGAGCGCACCTAGGGCTGCGCACCATCTGGCGGAGCCTCTGCTCAAAACCCACCCGAGCGTGTGTGTGTGCCGGCACTGCCTTCTTCCCCGAGAAAAATCATTGTTAGCAGTTTCAAAATAAACACCAGATTGGCCATTAGCGCTCTATTTCCAAATACCAGCCTGCGAGGAGCACGTGGCCGCGCCGGGGCCAGGCGCCGGGGCCGGGGAGCCCTCCTGCCGGGAGTCCCGGAGGCCTGGGCCGGCGCAGCCACTTGAGGCTGCAGCTTCCCGGTCCCCGGGCTGCCTGCGGCGTGCAGGGCCCGGCGGGGCGAACCGGCAGGGCGGCCGGGGCGACCGGACCGGACCGGCGGAAGGCCCATCTCCGGAACCGGGGTTTGAACTCGGGGCTAGGCTGGGCGCCCTCCTTGCCTGAGCCAGGGAGTGCACGGGGCTACGGGCAAAGGGCTGCCCCAGCCTGCGCGCCCTGCATTAGTTACAGCGTGCTGTCAGCGGCCTCTTCCAGCACACACATTGGGATTAGATGTAGACAATGGCCCCAGGATGCGCCCAGCAGCCCTGCGGGTGGTAGCCACGGGGCTGGGCGCCTGGGGTGCCCGGACTCATGTGCCTCAGCTCCCTGCACCCTGGCCTTGCCCCCGTCCAGGAGACTGAAAGCCCGAGCCAGCCTGGAGGGCGCCCGGGAGAGAGAAGGCCTCCTTGGCTGAGCCTCCTTCTGGGTGGCCCGCCCGGAGGGTGGCATGGGTGGCCCCCTGTGCACCTGCCCGCCCGCCGGGCCTGGAGGGCGCTGTGTAACGCCCGCCTCTGCATGTCCCCGCTCAGGCCATCGTCTACGAGGGCCAGGACAAGAACCCGGAGATGTGCCGTGTGCTGCTGACCCACGAGATCATGTGCAGGTGAGCTGCGGCGGCGGACGGGGAGCTGCGGGCGGGCGGGTGGGCAGCCTGGGCGCCAGCTGCAGCCACAAAGGATGCGCAGCCCTGGCGCCTCCACCTGGCTGGGCTCAGGGATGGGGTTCGATTGAAATGTAACCGGCTGGCCGCAAGCCGCACACAGCCCAGGAGCCGGGCTCATTTCCCCCACGGCTGCCGCAGCGGTCCCCGCAGCTGGCTGGCGGCTCCGCAGAGCCGATGCCTGTGTTGGCCACGCCGCTGCGATATCAAACACGCAGAGGGGTCCTGGCGATGCCGGGATCCTCAGAGCGGAGGAGTTGGGGATCCCTCCCAGGCACTTGACTGCTTCCTGCTGCTGCAGCAGTGGGGTCCTGAGCCGTGCCGGCGGCTGGTCTTAATAAAAGGAAACTCTGTGCTTGTTTCAGAGCCGAGCCTGTGAGCGTGGGGCTGGGAGTCTGTCAGTTAACCTCTCCCTGTGGCAGCCAGGCGCCCTTCCCTCGGCTGTTAGGCTGCGTTTCTCCAGATCCCTGTCACAGGAGCCATCCCCCTCCCGCTTCTTGTCTCGAGTGTCACCCCTCCGCGCGGCAAATAGAAAAAAAATGCACCGTTGACTTTGTGCGCGGGGGCTTGTGAAATGGGGAGGCTGGCGAGGAATAACAAGGACCCGCGAGCCGGCGACAGTAGCGGGCCAACGGCTCTGCAGGGCAGGCTCTGCCTGGCTACGGTGCCGGCTGCCGGCTGCCGACATGCCATTCCCGAGCAGACATATTGTTACGGCACTAATATACAAAAGCTGACTTTTTCTCATATCAGGTAATAAATATAAATTACAACCAATAAAGTGGAATTTCTTTATTATCCACTTCTGCATGTACTGCAATTAACATAGAAAGCGCACAGATGTGATTTAAGCTCTAAGTGGAAGACTGTAGACTTTCTTTAATCACTTTAGCTGTCAGCTTTAAAAGGCTTTATATACTTTGCCTACCATATGGTGTTAATTTAGCTAATTTAGACATGTAACCATTATACAAGTATGCTTTTTTAAAATGCAAGAAGCATAACATTTTTGTTTCATTTCTGCTTTAATTAAAGTTTCCATAACAGAGTTGAGGTGGGCTTAAAAGGAGGGACAATGGGAGTTGCTGATCGACGGAGGCGTGCTTTTGTGGCTATAATTAATAAATGCCCCCAAGAAATATCGGTGGAAGGTGGCATCTTGCCTCTTTCCCAGAAATAACAGCTTGACAATTAGAGGTAAACAAAAGCCGAAGCTGTGAAAAGTTATTCCCAAGCCTCCCGCCTCCCCTTCTCCTCAGTTCACTGCAAAGACAAACACCACAACATGTTTTCCATATTTTAGCATCACAATTTCCACGGCAGCCCTGCCACCCTCCTCCTAAGGAGCAGCTATGTCCCACGGCTGCCCCTTCCTTCCTTCCGGTAGAAACGCACACCCTAAGTTTAGCCACAGAGCACGTGAACCCCGCTGGCTTTAGAATCGCCCATCATCGGCCTGGGTAGGATGACTTAGTTTGCCGACTCCAGCCGCTTGACTATCAGACTTAAAAAAAAAAAAAAGAAAAAAAATTACGAGTCGGGCATGCAAGGATGACATGCCTGCTAAAGCGCCTGTTTACCGTCCCTCCACAGCCGGTGCTGTGACAAGAAAAGTTGTGGCAACAGGAACGAGACCCCCTCCGACCCCGTCATCATTGACAGGTAAGGATGGCTTCTTTATTTCTTTTTTTCCAAAACAAAACGGCAGCCCCAGCCCCAGCCCAGCCCAGCCTGCGCCTCGCTGGCTTTGCAGCCCCCCCCTCCCCCCCCCGCGGGGCTGCGGCTGGGGCTGGGGCTGGGGCTGCCGTGTTTGTTGTCCGCGTGCGTTCTGTGCACAGGTGGGTTGACTTGGAAACCTGGAGGCTGGCTCAGTGGGGATTCGGTAATTGCTTGGAGTTGTCAAGGGAAGCAGTGTCGCCTGCCACCGCGCTCGCTGCGAGGAGCACTTTATGCCTAGAGAGCGTCTGGCTTTCAACCCAAAAAAATGTCATAAAGTGCCTTTTGCTAATTTGTTAACAAGTCTCTCTCAGTTTTGCATTATTATTATTTATTATTATTATTGTGTGTGTGTGTTGTGTTTTTTTTTTTAAAATCTCGGATGATAGCCGGAGCGGAGACTTGGGTGGTGTTGTTCCTGTGGTAATGGTTGCCCAGAGTTAGAATGAATTTAATCTGCTCTCAATTAGTTGCAAAATGTCTCCTAATTTTTTCCCAATTGCGGCTGTCGTTTTATGTCAAGTAGCAAATATGTAACTAACAAACCAAAGTTGTTATAATTGAAACTAATTGCACATGCTGGTTACGTTTTCCAGCATTAATATCCGTCACTGGATGAGCTGTATGCATTCTTTACGTTCGCTGCTCTTCGTCTGGCTATTTGTCATGTTCCCCGGGCCACAGTGCATCCCTCAAAGCTACTAATCATCGGCTCTAATGGTGTTAATGTGCCTTTGCTGTCGCTCTGGTTGAAACAACAAATACACACCCTCTCCTCCTCCGGAGCACCCCTCTCTCGTGCCCCCCCTCCCATCTCTGGGTGCCTGTGCCCGGGTGGAGGGGGGCTTTTTCTCTCCAACAATGAGGAGCCACAGCCAGAGGCCCGGGGTGCGAGGGGCTGGGGTGTTTTTGCAACTGGTACCCACGCTGAATACATGCTAGACGTGCACACAGGACTCCAGTGTTGTGAGGCAGAGGGCTAGGCCTCGCTGCAGAGGGGTTGGGTTTCAGCAGCTCTCGGGACAAAGTTATCGTTTTGATCGTGAACTTTGGCTGTCCAGTGTCTGAAAAATTAAACCCGGAAAACTCCCCGAGTTAAGCTGGAGGAAATCTGGGCCTCCGGCGGAGAGCCGTGCCGGGGTGGAACTAGCTGGGCTGGCTGTGTGCTTAGCGGGGAATGCGCGGTATCTGACAGAAGGGACGGCTCTGATTAGTAATCAAATCGGGGGGACCAGTTGTGGCCGTCACTCAGGCGGCCAGAGCGAGTCCCACACTTGGTCCGACTCCAGCCACGGGAATCAGTGGCGCCGTGCTTGTCCTCCTCCGCGCGGTGGTCCGGGGCTGCGGGGCGCGCACCTGGATTTACCGTGTTTCCTGGGATTGGCGGATGCTCGCAAAGGCAGCGTGTGCTGCTCTTCACGCAGCGCTGGGGAGGGTCTCCTCTCCTGAGTTGGCTTCTGCGGGCGGTATCTGTGCGTCTAGAAAAGCTGGCCTCTTCTGCTCACGTTGTGAGGTGTTCAGTGACCCAGGGGTCGTGTGGACTCAACCAGTGTTTTGGGTGCCGTTGGGGTGTGTGTGACAGTCCGTCACGTGTGGATGCTTTGATGCCGCAGAACCTCTCATGTTCTGTTTTTTTTTTTTTTTTTTTTTTTTATCACGGGCTGGGAATAGGTCTTTTCCCACACGTGTGGAAATAGACTCGCGAATATCTTGTCTGAGTGAATGCCTCCTTATCGCTCCGGTTAATTAAAATATGTGCTGAGATGACTGATACCTCTCTGACCATGCGATCGTTTGAGATGCCAGGAGCGGGAGAGGAGGGGGAAACACACGCAAAAACATGTAGCTCATGGGCTCACACCAAGTTTATTTGAATAAGGAGGATCGCCTGGCATTGGTGCTTTGGAGATCTTAATTATTGATGAAAACCTGCCCTGCTCCTAAATTCAGAGATAGGACAATTTTATAGGAATTTTAATCACCTCCCTCCCACGTGCGGGATGGTGGAGGAGGGCGAGGGCGGCTTTACGGGGTGACAGATAGGATGTGCGTGTTTTCACCGTTCTTAGAGAAGAGCTGTCACTTCTGACGACAAAAGACGGTGCACATCCTGTGGCTCGGTGTCAGTCGGCGTGTGATGATCGCCGTTATTGGCACAGCCTCCCGCGTGCGAGGCACGGTGCTGGGGGGCACGTGAAGGATGCCGTGTTTACGGAGGGAGGCCCGTCGTGGGAATCAGAGGGAGAAACGTGCCTGTGGGAAGAGGCTGTCTCCTGCGAGAGGCAGCCGTTCGCAGCTGAGCTGCGTTTCAGTTTCATAATGATCATCGTTTCTGCCTCCGAAAACTTGAGCTTCTAGCCTGTGTTGCCCCCGGAGGGAGGGCCGCGGACTAGAACCCCGTGCCGGCCGGGGAGCCCGCCCCCCGCCCCCACCGGCGCTGTCTGTTAGGACTCGGTTAGTTGGCTTAGGAAAGAATTAGATACTCCGGGCGGCCTTTGGCCACACGCAGCCGCTCCCATCCAGATCAGGCCTGTGTCCCGAGGACATAAACCAATAACTCCAACCTGAATGGAGATCAATGGGCCCGCGTCCCCGCCAACCCACGCGGGGAAGCCGGCTCCCGGCTCCGGCAGGCACATCGCGTTCTGTGGACGCGGGCGCCTTCCATCAATTAATTACACCATCTAGCCCGCCGATCGCTCAGAAGCCTTAGAGACTCCCGGGCGGCGGGAAAGGGGGGGAACACGTGAGGGTGCTTTTGCATGACGAGACCCTCTTCTTGTGAAGGTGGCGCGCACCCTCCCCGTGCTCTTCCTGGTAAACAACGCGGGGGAAGCCGCCCTTTGCGGCCCCGCAGATATGACTCTGCTGCGGAGGGCGGGAGCGCGGCGGGTCCCGGGGACGGGGAAACGTGACGCTGTAAAGTGGAGGCACAGCCGCGAGGAGCTACTGCGGTGGAAAGCATGTATGTGGCTGCCGTGACCTGCAGAGCCAGGAGCGGGGGTGGGGGAGCGTGTGCGTGTGCGTGTGTGTGTGTGTGTGTGATGTGCACATCCCCACACACATGCATGTGCATGAATATGTGTGTGTGTGTACACACACACACATGCATACACACATGCACACGCACGCACACACGCACACGTAATGCTTTACGGTATTCTGCAGAGGCCGGGGTATCGCTTTCCTCGTGGAATAATGTTTTCTGGGAAAACACAAAAGCAGATGGTCTTCATTAGGAACACCCATTGTCCGCGCAGCCCAGCCACGAACAGATGAATCTCTCCCGTCTCACCCGTGCATTCCAAAGGCTGTGAATGATTACAGGATGTCGGTGTAGCTGCTAAACCAGAACCACACTTTGGCTGTCGTCCTCCCCTGCCATCCCATCCCGGGGTGTCGCCTGAGGCCCAGCAGACAAGCCCGGGAGGGTGTGCTCTGACCCCGGTCCCCGCCCGGCCGCGTGGGGCCAGGAGCTCTGGGTCCAGGCAGACCCTGGGCGGCAGGAGCTGGGTGCTGGGACCTCCGAGCAGCCGGGGTGTGCATGGGGCCCCCCGTGCAGGGCCCGGAGGGAGCGTGCTCGGCGGGGCGGTTCCAGATGGCACGGTCTCCGGCGTCCCACGCGCAGGCATCTCCGTGGCAGCGGCGGCCCCCTCCCCGGCGAACCTGGCATCGGTCCGTGGAGTTGGGGAGACTTATCATTCCAAGTCTGTCCCACTTTGCTGTCTGGGAGCCAGACATCTGTTTATCCCATTTTCTTTCATACGGAGTTTGGAATAGCTCTCGCTGGCCAGGACTGGGGTGGGGGGCGGGGGGCGGGGAGGTGGGGAGAGAAGCAAAGTTTTGTCATATTTAACAGCTGTTACAAAATCTCAACCCTGTGGGCTCTGAAAATACTTTTCAGCTGACCTCAGATTTTTATACATAACTGACACGGGGGTTGCAGGAAAAATATTATTGACTTAACCTCTCATTGTCTGCGATTTCACGTTGTCGTCCGTCCCCTGCCCAGGCCCCGAGCATTCTAACCAGGCCCCCCGCCCCCCGGCGTTCCCCTGACCCCCTCTGATCCATTTACGAGTTCGAAGTTTACACCTTTAAAATGACTGCAGAACGGTAGCTGAACACCCATCCGAGTGTTTCTTTCTTTCTTTCTTTCCTCCTTTTTTTTTTTTTTTTTTTTTTTTTTTGAGTCAACAGTGTTTCCTTTCACTTCCTGTCACAAAGGTCAAAGAGAGCGACCTTTGCTGGCAGTCCTCCCTCTGAATTATTCATGGCATTGACTTTTGTCAGCACACACAGTTGTGCTCTGGGACGCTTTATTCATTTACCTCATTTAAAGCGCCTTTCTGCACCTGTTCAAGTATTAATATCCTGTAATTTGGGCCTAATGCCGATTTTGCTGAACACTCATTATATTTTTTATTAGCTATATTTCCAAACGATTATGTATGATTATTACCGAGCCTTACAAACAGCACCGGGCGATTCCCCAGCCCCTTCCATCTTCCTGTCAGGCTGTTTTCGGAGGCGGGGAGGATAAACATTTGACCAGTCCCCGTGTTTTCCTTCCACTCCATCTCCGTGCCCAGAACTTAGCGCGCCCTCCCTCCCCCGCGGCTTTGCGCGCGTGATTAAGCCCCACTCCGAGGGAGCTGTACAAATGCCAGCGTTTATAAGGTCAGCGCTTTTGTTAAAAATGCTATGCAAATGAGGATCTGCAAAAAGGGACATTAAATAAAATTAAATTCATTGTCTTCTTTAATGTCATTTACATTTTGGCTAAGCCCCGGCCTGTCAAGGAGGATTTTAAAAATAATTTTAATTACACACCATTTAGCGATCCAAGGGTTTTTTTTTTTTTTTTTCTTCCCTCCTATTCGGCAGCGTTTGGATAACCTGCAAAATGGGGACTGTTTATTAACTTCTTAAGCGACAGCATGGCG